CATGGCCATCTTCTTGTTATGTCCTCACATGGCAGAGAAGGAGATCTCAGGTCTCTTTCTATCCCATCTTTTTATCTCTTAAAAATCGTCTTTTTATCCCATTACAAGGAGGACCCCACCCTCATGACCTAATCTAACCCTAACCACCTCCCCAAGGCCCCACCTCTGAATACCATCCCATTGGGACTAGGGCTTCCAACATAAAAATCTTGGGGGACACAACTTTCAGTCACAGCAGCTAATGTAACGAACTCCTACCGTTTTACCAATTTTGTGTTTTTAATCTCACCTTTTTTCCCTTAGAATATTTTAAAACAAATCCTAGATATCGAGTCACTCGTAAATATTTTAATGTGCATGGTAACAAAGATACCTTTAAAAAAAGAACATGTCAGTACCACATTAAGAATATTAATAATTTCTTAGTATCTAAACCCAGTCTTTATGATTTTTTCAGGTTATCTTAAAAATGTCTTTTTACAAAAGTTTGAATCAGAATCAAAATGAGGTTCACGGATCGCATTTGGTTGCTATGTTTAAGTCTCTTTTAGTCTAACCAGTTTCCCCTCAAAAAAAAAAAAAATTGAAAAACAAGATCATTTACCCACAGAACATCCCATAATGTGGACTCAGCAAGGAGCGTCCTTACAGTGTCAATTTGTTACTCTCCCCCACATCTGTGAATGAGTAGTCAGGTCTAGAAACTTAATTGGATTCAGATTCTCCCCTCCCCCTCCAAGAATACGTAACTTGCTGTACGTCCTGTTGCATCACAGGCAGCATTGTCTGGTTGTCCCATTTTCACTATGTCAATTCATCAGTCCTGTTGCTATCAGGTTGATTCATCCATTATAAAAGTTCTGTTGATCTTTCATGTAGCAGTTTTAACATTCATTGATGATCATTGCCTAGGTCTATTATTTCATTAGTCACTGAAATACAGTGATTCTTTTAGGGGAGAAGGGGGATTTTAAAAATTTTGAATAATTTCAGACTTAAAACTTGCAAGAACAGTAGAAAAAACTCCCACATATCTTTCATCCAGATTCTCCAATTGCTAACATTTTACCACACCTGCATTATTTTTTTTTTTACTCTATAACTACACTCACAATAATGACTCTCAGTAACTATTTTTTATGAATCACTTGAAAGCAAATTGAAGACATTCATGACATTCATGTCCCTTATCCCTAAACATTTCAGGGCGTGTTTCCTTGAGACAAGGACATTTACATAACCACAGTACAATTATTAAAGTTAGGAAATAAAGTATATGATACTATTAGTTAATATCCAGGCTTCATTCATATTTCACCAATTGTTCCACTAATGTCTTTTATAAGAAAAAACAAAAAGGTGCAGGATGCCATCATGATTGCTTTTTGTATTTGGATGTCATGTTTCTTTGAGTCTTCCCTAATCTGGAACAGTTCCTCTATCTTTCATACCTTGAGATTTTTAAAGGACAATTATTTTGTAGAATGCACTCAGTTTGCATTTGTCTGGTATTTTTCTCATGATTTAATTGAGATTATGCAATTGGGCAGGAATACTACAGAAGTGATGTTATGTCCTTGATGCGTCATAGCAGGAGGTTATGATGTCAGTCAGGAGGTACATGATGTCAGTTTGAACCATTACTGGTGATGTTAACTTTAATTACTTAAAGATAGTATCTGCCAGGTTTTTCCACTGTAATGATTTTTCTCTTTATGGGAGATACTTTGAGACTATGTAAATATCCAGCTCTCATCAAACTTTTATCCACTAGTTTTAGCAGTCATTGATGATTCTTGCTTGAACTATTAATGGTTGTCAAACTTTCCTGTAATTTATTAGTCAGCATTCTACTATAAGGAAGAGCTTTACACACACACACACACACACACACGCATGCATGCACACACTGTAGGTTATAATCAGATACTGTTGTGTACAATTTGTCCATTTGGAGCCCCTCCAAGTTGACATTTGTGTCCTTTTGCCATATCTCTATCGTCCTTTGAGCACTTTCTTAATTTGTCATGAGATATTCTAGGTTCATCATTTACTTTTACTTCTCCAGATTTGGAATTAGCCATTTCTCTAAGGAGCCTGCTGCTTCTGCAAGGGAGGCCTGAGGATTTGTGAGTGGAAGATTCTCAGATTTGTTTGAGTCTGCCCAAATACCCCCATTCCACATCTCAAGGTCTCACTCCTTCCCATTCAGTGCCATAAATTTCACCTGAAAGAATTGACACAGCTGTGAATTCAGTTTGACTGTAATTTTGCAAGCCACACTTATTCGTTACTGAAGTTGGTGTGGCCAGTGCTGCTGCCGCTGCCAGAAACATTGTCAGAAATCTGAATCAGAAAGAGAGGCACTTCTCTCCCGCCTTTCATCTCCCCCCAGTGCCTCCATCGCAGATGCCAACACGGAGTCAGCTGGCAAGACTCTCAGGAGTGCGATCTGGGAGTCTGACTATACATTACATTGAGGGCACAGGAAGGTGAGGACGAGAGAGAGAGCAAACCAGCACCAACAAATGAGTGAACAAGTGAGAAGATGCTCGATGCTAATTCTATCCCAGAAATCCCAACTGATTGAATTCCAGTATTAAGTTCCTATCATGTGCTAGCTTCTAGAAATACATTGGTGAACTAAACACAGCCCCAGCTATCTGGGACTTAGCCACAGAGTAGAGACAGACAACCAATGGACACTTCATTTAAAGGCACCATATCATATATCTGACAAAGAATTTTTATCTGGGTACACACACCGAAAAAATCCTAAAAATAAATTCAATGTGATAGACCACCCTAATATATCAGCAAAAAAATCTGAGCAGACCCTTCACATAGGAGGATATTCCTGTGGTCAATAAATATGAAAAGGTGTTCAACTTTATTAGTCATGGAAGTACAACCACGATGAGACACCACTACATACCTATCAGAACGGCTAGAAATAAAAAAGACTGCCAATGCCAGGTATTGGTGAGGATGTGGAGCAACTGGAACTCTCATACTGCTGACGAGTGTAAACGAGAACACACACTGTGGAAAGCTGCTCACCAGCATCTACAGAATCTGAACACTGTACTCTGACCTAGCAATCCTATCTTTAGATGTATAACCAAGAGAACCTAGTGTATATGTTCACCAAAGGCAGGTACAAGAATACCCACAGGAGCTATATTCATAAAAGTTCAGACCTGGAAATAACCCAAATGGACATAAATAAATGGATAAAAGAATGGATAAATTGTGGCATAGTCATACAATTGAATACTATTCAGCAATAGAAAAGAATGAGCCACTGCTACATGCAACAATGTGGATGAATCTCACAGAATGTTGAGCAGAAGAAGCCCGACACAAGAGTTCATGTCATATGATTCAGTTTATTTGAAGTTCAAGAGTAGAGGAAGCTAATCTATGGTGATAGAAGACGGCTTGGCACCTTGGGGGTACTGACTAGGGAGGGGCAGGAAGAATCCTGCTGGTGTGCTGGAAAAGTTCTATATTGATTTGGGTGGTGTTTACAAATGTATGAAAGTTCATCAAGCTGTAAACGTAAGATTTGTGTACTTCACCATATATAGGTCATCCCTCAAAAAATTAACCAAAAAAAAAAAAAAAAAAAAAAAAGGAAATGAGAGTTTCCTACAAATATAAATGCTAAGAAGAAATTTAAAGCTATGTGATGGGTGAATGGGGGATTGAATGATCAGAGCTGAGACCTGAATGGTGATTAGGAGGTAGCCATGTAATGAGCTGGGAGACTGCTTTCTGGGAGAGGGGACAGCGAGTGAAAAGGCCCTGAGGCAGGATTAAGTTGGGTGTATTGGAGGAACCTCGTCAAGGCCAGCAGACTGAACATAGTGAGCAGGACCAGGGCAAGTCCTTAGTCTGGCTTTTTATTCGAAGAGCAGTGGGAAACCATGAAGGGTTTGAAGTAGGGGGGTGTACTTTCTGAGAGCTTAGACAAGGGAAAGAGAGAGACCTCTGATGAACTTTAATTATGTGGCCACGACATCTGGGAGGTGGAGGACTGGGATTTAACTACTGTGCAGGGCTGGAGAGGCAGTGCAGTCAAGGTTTGTTTTGGACACGTTAAGTTGGAGATGCTCATTAGGTACCCTTGGGGCTGTCCGGGAGGCAGTGGGCGATGGGGCTGAAGTTCTGGGCCGGAACTGGGTTGGAAATGTGTGTCATGAACACACAGGTGGTATTTCAAGTCCCAGGTACCTAGGAGAACAGAGAGCAAGAAGAAGGGACACAGGGCGTTTTATGACATGAGTTTTTCTGGAGAGACTAGAGCTGCCAGAAGGTTTGGATGGAAACTGCTTTAAAAGTGCTGCTTTAGGGCTTCCCTGGTGGCGCAGTGGTTGAGAGTCCGCCTGCTGATGCAGGGGACACGGGTTCGTGCCCCGGTCCGGGAAGATCCCACATGCCGCGGAGCGGCTGGGCCCGTGAGCCGTGGCCGCTGAGCCTGCGCGTCCGGAGCCTGTGTTCCGCAACGGGAGAGGCTGCAACAGTGAGAGGCTCGCGTACCGCAAAAAAAAAAAAAGAAAAATGCTGCTTTAACAAGGGTTGTTGTGTGCCCACTCCCTGCCAGGCATCGAGAGCCCAAACGTGAGCAGAACCTGGCCCTCATCAGTGCTGCCAGCCTAGGGTTGGAGTCTCCCAAGCCTGGGCCTTGAGCACTAAAATGCAGATTCCTGGGCCCATCCACGACCCACTGAAACAGAGTGCCAGGGCCATCTGCATTTATCAAGCTCCCTGGGTGAGTCTTGCACATGGAGGTTGAGATTCTCTCACTTTCAGTGGCCCAGGTGTGTGTGTGTGTGTGTGTGTGTGTGTGTGTGTGAGAGAGAGAGAGAGAGAGAGAGAGAGAGGAGAGCGGGAAAGAGCAATTTCCTCTTTCCCTCTCTGAGGGTGGGGCTGCTGCAGAGTTCAGGAAAGCAGTCAGTTCTGTAAGCTGTGCTGTGCTGTGTGTGTGTGTGTGTGTGTGTGTGTGTTTTCATGTGTGGGGGGCGGGCACGGTGTCCCAGGAGGACAGAGTTTGCATTGATGAAACCCTTCCCAGCCCTTTGATGCCTCTTTCCCTCTGCCCTGAAGTTAACCAGCTCAATCCTCCGTGCATCCCGCTCGCCGGCCGCACTCACTCACGGGCCAGGATGGCGCTCTGTCTGGCCCTGCGCATGGCACTGCTGCTCCTCTCCGGGGTCCTGGCCCCTGCGGTGCTCACAGGTAAGGGTGCCCCCTGGGCTCTGCTACCACCAGCCTCCCAAGGCTAAGAAGTACCTTAGGCCAGAATCTCTAATGCCCACCGGCAAGGCCATTCACAGGAGATGGGGTGGCAGTTTGGGGGTGATTCTGTGAAGGGCTCCCCCAGGACAGGCTGGCAGCAGCTGCGTCCAAGGCCTCAGGGAATCGTTAGCCATAGAGATGGTGACCTCTGAAGTAGGAGGGTGACTTGGGGAGCAGGGCCAGGGACATTAGCTGCCTGGGGTACATGGGGATTACTCCAGCACCCTAAAATCTGAAGGCCTTCAGATCTGGGAGTCAGGAGGGGGCACCAGGCAAGCAGCTGAGGGGCAGAGGCCCCAGGCCCCTAGATGTAAGAACACAGCCCTACCATTTATTTGTCAAGCCCTGCAAGCCCTTCTCTGCTGGTTTTCTGAAATGTCCTCTGAGAGTGAAGACCCAGGTACTGTTTCCATCTTGGGAAAAATTCCAGAGGGAGCACAGGGCCAGAGACCCCTCTGTAAAACCATGAGGATGCTGGACTGAGGCACTGCACTGAGGCTGAAAATGGCTGGGTCTGGGGTCTGGCGAGAAGGGTCCCGCCAGGCTTGGCTTGGCAGGCTCCTGGGACCTGAGCCCCTGTCCTGGGCACAGCTGTGGGGCTTCAAAGCCTGAGCGAGAAAAGGCACAGACGGGTCATGGGTGGTCTTTCTCCTGGAAGAAAGCCATCTCTGATGGCCGTGAGGTGGGCCAAAGGGAGGTGTTTCGGGGCTCCTGAGGGCAGTCTTGGGGCTGGAGAAATGTGAGGGTGGGGGGGCCCCTTGGAGACCCTCCGCGGCATGGGTTTCGGGGGAGTGTCTGTGGATCTGAGGGAGGCTGTGATACCATCGTGTGGATGTGGTGCTGGGAGAGCTGCTGGGGGATGCGAGGCCTGGGGGGACCCTTATGGTCACACACTCAGGCACGAACACGGGAGGAAACGGGATGGGGTGGCGAGGAGCCTGTGGGCCTGCCGGCCTCCCTCTAGACACCCTAGGAAGAAGCTTGCAGGCTGGCTTTGTTTCTGGCCCTGTCCTCCTCGCTGTTTCTCAGCCTCTCTGTGCCTCTCCTCTGCTGTACCATGGCGATAACCAGAGCGCCTCTGCCTCTCTCGCAGGAGCCTGTAGGTCTGCCAAGTTCACACACGTGAGCTTTCAGGACGGGCCAGGCAGCTGGTAGCGCTCAGCGCATGTTAGGAGGAAAACATCCCCAGCCGCTCTGCTGGGTGCAGGGTAGTCTCAGGCAGAAGCACCTCCTCATGCGGCTAGGAAAGCATCCAGCCTCCCTTTTGGTGGGAGAGGGGACAGCTGGGCAAGCCAGGGGGCTGGTGTGGTGCCCAGGGAATCGGGGAAGTGATCTAAAGTGGGGTGGCGTCTCCCGTGGCTCCCTTATACCCCACCCACCCTAGTGAAAAGCTTTTCCCGCCTGGTGGTCAGAGTGGGTGGAGGTGAAGGTGCTGGCGTCCGTCTGCCCGGGGTCTGGGGCCGTGTGGGCAGCTTCTGTCGTTCCTTGGTCCCCATGCAGCCAGCCCTCCCAGCCAGGCTGCCGGCCAGAGGCGCTGGATCAGACTGTGCACACACAGCCTGGGTGGGTGGGCTGCGTCTGCCGCCGCAGGAATGCCTGGGGACAGCCTCGTGTCTGGCGGCAGCGGGACCTCACCTGGCCTCACCTCCCGAGTCCCCTCCATGTGTCCTACCAAGGGCAGGCAGGCCAGCCCCACCCCGGAGTCTTTGGGGTTCCGGCTGGCTGTGGTTCGCCCTGCCGCTCTGGGAGGGAGCGGGTTTGGGAGGCTCCTGGCCGCCCCACCCCCGGCTGGAGGCTCAGAGCAGGTGTGCAGCAGGCCCCACAGGCCCCTGGCCCGCTGCTCCCTGGGCTGGGGTCCTGAGCAGGCAGGCGGGGAGGGAGCGGCCTGCTGCCCTCCCTGCGGGTCGCCCGTGGCCACAGCTACCGAGGTGGGGGGGGGGGGGCAGGCCAGGCTGAGCGGGCGGGAGGCCAGGGCAGGGATGAAAAGGCCCTTCACGGCCGCACAAAGGCCGTCTGTGAGCTTGGGCGCCTGGCCTCCGGGCCCAGTGGTCAGACTGAGCGTTAAACAAGCTTATTTACCAAAAGGCGGTGGGGCTGGAGGAGAGCCCACGGTGCCCAGGCCCGTGGCAGGGTCACGAGGCGCCCACTTCTCCGGGCCTCTCAGTCAGCGCGCGGAGTTGCCGGTTGCTGCTCGCTCCGGTCCTTGTCCTCCCTTCTCCGTCCTCGCTTAACGTCTCTGCTCGCCGTCCACGCCTGCCCGCATACCAGTCCCTCTGCCTGGCATTTCTTTCCCCCATCTTTCCCCCTCCTCAGATGGGGCCTGCTGTGGGGAAGCTCCCTGACAACGGCTTCTGCTCATGGCTCCCCGGAAGGATAGATCTGGGGGACAGACTGGCTTCCCCCTTTGACTACAGCAAATTGAGAGAGTACGGAGGCACGTAGACGAGGACAAGAAAATGCCTGGCCCTCCTCGGCAGCTGCACCTCCTCTGCCGGAGGGCTGGTGACTGAGCGCAGGCTGTGGCTCTGGCCCACGTGTGCCACTGGGGCACCCGCCTGGGCTGGCAGGGAGCTGCTGGGCCCTGGGCCCTGGCTGCGTGGGTGCAGATGAATCCCTGAAGCCCGGATCCGCCTCTGGGGGTCTCCCGGCGATGGTCAGCTACAGCAGGCGCAAAGCCCGCAGGGGGGCAAGGGCCATGGTGCCCAGGCCAGAAAGGCCCTAGGGCAGAGGCAGCAGCTGACGGTGGCCGTGACAGCACAGTCACCACCTTGTGAGGGCTGTGAGAGGCACGGTCCACCCCCCATTCCACAGGTCGGGAAGTGAAGGCCGGCGGCGAAGGCAGTCCGTGGTGGTCCCAGGGTGAGGCTGTGGTGGAGCCGGGATCTGGACCCAGCCCTCCTGATTGGAAGTCAATGGATTCAGCCCATCAAGCTTCAGAGACTGGCAGAGTCTTGAAGGGGCGGGAGGGGATGCGCACAGCAGGGATGAGGGGGCCTGGGCTGGTGTGTCTGGCAGGGAGGGTCCAGGCTTCTGTGGGAAGGAACAGGGTGAGGCTGGGTCACTGGGGGCAGACAGGGAGAAGGTCTGGGTGGGTCTCCAAGTACCCTGCTCAGAGGGCCCTTCTCCCCGAGAGATGGCTCCCGGGCTCTGGCAAAGGGCAGAGGGTGACCACTAGTTCCTGGGAGTGAGCCCCTGCCCTCCAGGGGGTGTGGAGCCCGGCACTCCTCTTCCTGCACTTGGGGCTGACTCCTTGGACGCCACCAGGTTGGCTGGCCCTGATACCCAGTAGCCCTGTGCTGGCCTTTCTGGCCAGAGGCCTGGCAGTTGGAGGTGAGCTTTGGCTGGTGGTGGTAGGACAGGGAGGTGCCTGGCTGCCACTCTGTCTTGGGCGTGTGGCGAGCAAGTGGGGACCAGTGGTTTGTTCATTTATCTGGAAGACAGGCAGTCTGTGAGCCCTAGACCTCAGGGCCTGCCAAGCGGTGGGTAGACCCAGGCCTTTTTTCTGCTCAGCCCCAGAGAGCCTGAGGCAGGCATGCCTAGGGCCTGGAGCCTTCCATGGCAGTTGCAGGCTGCAGACCCCAGCCCTCCCAGGCAGCGACAAGGGAGGCCTGACAGAGTCGCTTTCCCCTTCCTCACAGTGGGTGGCCCCCACGCACCAGCACTGCTTCAGCCTGGGCCCTGGGAGAGGGAGGCTTCCACACAGCGGGTGCAGGGGCCTCCTGCCCCTGAGAGGCCTCCTGCCCCTGAGAGGCCTCCTTGCCAGCGCTGTTTCTGAAAAGGGGCACAGGCCCGGGCAAGCCCTGGGAATATGACAGCGGTCCCTGCCTGTAAGCTGAGCCTCAGAACTGATCCAGCTGAGGCCTGGGAGAGGCACCAGGGGCAGGGCCTGGGAGCTGGGGACCTTGTAAAATTTTGTCATGAAACGATCTGAAGTTTACAGAAAAGTTATAAGAATTATCCAGTGAACTCCAGTAGGCTCTTCAGTTGGATTCACCGACCGCCAACATCTTGCCATATTTGCTCTTCTCACCGTCTTCCTGTCTCTATTTACTCACTTACCTATCTGATTGCTGAACCTTTGACAGTTAAGGTGCAGACATCATGCCCCTTTGTCCCTAAATACTTCCTAAGGACAAGGACATTCTCTTACATAAGCAGTTATCCAAACCAGGAAGTGAAAACTGACGCAGCACTGTCACCTGAACTACAGCCTTATTCATAGCTCACCAGTGGACTCCATAATGTTCCACCCAGGAACGCACGGTGCGTTGTGTTGTCATAGCCCCTTAGTCCCCAACCTGGAACAATTCCTCACCCTTTCTTTGTCTCTCGTGACCTTAACGTTTGTGAAAGCCTAGTTATTTTAAGGCTGCCCTGGAATTTGGGTTTGGCTGTTTACTCATGATTTGCCTCAGGTGGACACGTTGGCAGAAGAACCCTGGAAGTACCTTTGTGTCTTCCCAGAGCAGGCCCCTCTCCAGGAGCTGGTGAGCCTGGAAGCAGGGTGTGGGTCTGGCTTGTCTGTGCTCTGGGGGAGCTCTCAGGGGTGGAGCCCCCAAGTGTGCAATGTGCCCCAGGGACCACAGGTGGGCTGGCCAGGGTTGTATTGACGGAACCACAACTTCCCAGGAAGTTTCTCGGGAAGCACGACCTCTTCCGGGGCTTCAATCCCCAGCAGCACGTAACTACCAGCACAGCGCCCACCTCAGCTTAACCTGAGCCTTGGTCTTCTTGGCCGACCACAGAGCGGCTGGTATCAGTGAGACGGTGCGCTGTGATGCCCGGCAAGCCCATTCTAGCATCCCTGGCTCACAAGGGAGATCGCTCAGGGCTGGGGTGTTGCTGCGAGGCTCCTCAGGCTAGGATCCTTGACGGGGGAGCAAAGTTGGTGTGGGCTGCCTGGGGTTACCACGCAGGCCTCTCAGCCTGTCCCTCTCGTTCTCTGGGGCCCCTGGGTACCCTAAATCCTGCTAACCCCCAACCCATGAGCAGAGAAAGGCTCCTGCAGAAAACGCTGCCCGGAGACTGATGTGCTGACGGAGCCCCAGCTAGTGCGGGGCTGAGGGCTTACCCTTTCCTGGGGCTTCCCTTAACACTGACCACAGACACCCCTGCCCACCCCTCTGGCCCTGTTCTGTCTGGAGGCAGCAACGTGCTGGCATCACAGTTTCTTAGGCTAGAGAGGCCCCTGCGCTCTAAGCCTCAGACACTCGGGGGCGCGTGGACGCACGTGCAGGCGCTAGACCCCAGGCCCTGGGGGCTGCTCCACTCTGCCTAGGTTAGGGCCGAGAAGCAGCAGGGCCGGCTGCCCCTGGGGTGTGGGGCCGGCTGCCCCTGGGGTGTGGGGCAGGCCTCTCCTCTCCACCTCCTGCAGCAGTGGGCCATATTTGCTCACCGGCCGCGCTGAGCAGGAACCCTGGTTCCTGGAGAGGGCAATGCCTCACCCTCTCGGCGCCTTCTCCAGGGTGAAGACTGCCCTGGGGCTGCCCTGTGCGGGTGCGGGGAAAGGACCCTTTACAAGTGTCACTTCCCCAGGACCTACAGAGCCCAGCAGTTCAGATGGGGGGCCCCAGGCTCTGCTGGGTGTCGAAGTGCCCTGCCTCCCCCCGCCCCCCTGCCCTGAAGCTCGCTGCCAGCCCGAAGTTCTTCCAGCTTCCTCCCGAGTGGGCCTGTTGGTCCCTCAGTGCCCTCCTCCCCCATCAACCTGTCCTCTCATGGCAGGGGTGGCCTGACCCCAGTGGAGGCTCTGGGGCCACACGTGGGCCACTCGGCCTCCGTTGCCTCACCTGTGAAGCGGCAAGCACCGCGCTGTGCCCCAGAGCCCGGCACTCAGCGCCCCTTCCCAGCCGGTCAACGGCGGGGGCGACGTCTCCGTCGGCCCTGCCGCCCAGGCCCCCACACCTGTCCTTGGCTTTGCAGCCGAGGGCCCGCAGGAGCCCGTGCCCACCCCGTGGAACGAGCCCGCCGAGCTGCCGTCGGGAGAAGGCCCCGTGGAGAGCACCAGCCCCGCCCGGGAGCCGGCGGTCAGCGGCCCGCCCGCGCCCACCGCCGCGCCAAGCCCCGAGGACAGCACCGCGCGGGAGCATCTGGACCAGGGCGGCGGTACGGGCTGGGGCGCGGGGTCCGGGCGGGCCGGGAGGAAGGGGTGGGAGGGGGGCCGGGCCTCGGGGCTAACGCGGCCCTCCGTCCTCCGCAGGCTCGCTGGGACCCGGCGCCATCGCGGCCATCGTCATCGCCGCCCTGCTGGCCACCTGCGTGGTGCTGGCGCTCGTGGTCGTCGCGCTGAGAAAGTTTTCCGCCTCCTGAAGCGAATAAAGGGGCCGCGCCGCCGCGCGACTCGGCGCCACCCCCGGTGCGCGCCCCCGTGTCTCCATGTGTCCGCGCGTGAGTGTGTGGGCGAGCGGGGTGGGGGTGTGGGGGCAGGCGACGTGCACGTGCTCGGGGCTCGAGGCGCGCATACGCGCGCACACGCGCGCGTGCGTGAGCGCACGTGCGCCGGGGCCCCGCAGGAGCGCGGGTGCGTGCGCGATGAGCGTGCGCCGGAGGCCGCCGGTGTGCGTGAGCGGGGCGTGCGGAGTTCTCTGGCCAGAGTTCTCGGCGAGGCCTTGGGAGCGCGGAGTCGCCGTGCCGCAGACCCCTGCTCGTCCCGCAAACTGCCCGGGCCCTGCCCTCTGCAGACCCCTCAGCTCCGGCCCTGGAGCGCTGCGAGTGCGGACCGGCGTGAGGCCCCGAGGGCAGGAGAGGCAGCGGCCTGCCCTGGGCCCGCCGTCCTGCTTTCTGCGCCTCGCTGGGTGATGGTGGGGTCCGCGGGACCCTGGGCTGTCCCGGCTCCCCAACCAGAGGCCAGTGACTTTGGGGGTGGGGGGCGTCTTCTGACTCTGGCAGCCAGCGCGCTATTTGCAGGCTCTGAGCCCCAGACCTGAACCCTCAGGACTCCTGGGGGCCCCTCTTCCTCGGGGAGCCCAAGGAGCGAATGAGCAGAGGGGTGAATCCCGGGTGCTGTGGGCCCCTGTTCTGGCTCCCCAACCCACAGCCCCAGACCGCCTCCCTCCCCTGGCTTGTGTAAGCTTGTGCAGGGGGTTTCGCGGAGCCTCGGGCAGAGCGGGCAACCCCACGCAGGACGGCTGTTTGTTTAGAGAAAGAAAACAAAAAGGCTTTTCAAGCTCATCTCTTTTCACTTCAACCCTGAAATTATGGCAGCTGAATGAGGGGTGAGGAACCACCCAGCCGTGCCACGCCCCAGCTTGGCCCTGGCACTGAGTCCTTGGTCATGCCCTCTGTCTTCCATACTTCCCAGGAAGCCTAACTTTTATCATTTAGAGAGAGGGATTTAAATTAGTGGCTTACCTGCTCTGGGTGCAGCAGGAAAGAAGCCAGAACTGCGTCCTGTCCCCATCCTCCAAGGACCCTTGGAGTGAGGACCCTAAGGCCTAGAGGGGGCACTGTCTGCAAACCCCACTGATGGTTTAACACCTGGGCCACAAGAGGATCCTTTTGAGTGAGTGCTGGTGGAGTGAGCTATTCCTCTTTTTTTTTCACCGTTGTCTCTAGCAGTTGTTTTGGCCTCCTTGGTTTCTCTGAGCTCCTGACTACCTGTTCTGGCTAAGACCAGTTTTCTCCTGGATATGCCAGGTGGCCACACGTGGTACCCACTCACACTCCCCAAAACACATCATGGCTTAAGTTTCTGCTTATAAAAGACTGTTATGAAACTGACTGGTTTTCATGAAACTGTTTACATTATTACACATAACCTGCAGTAGCTGAAGCCCTCCTTAGAGCAGGTGACCCAAGTCAGTATGCTGTTTCCCAGCTCCAAAAAGAAAAGCGGGATACGTTGGCCAGGACCGACGGCTCCCCTCCCCAGCCCCACCCTGCCAGGAGCAGTACGGGACTCCGAAATGGTCCCTCTCCCCATCCCCTCACTCCTGGGAAACTCAGGTGCAGGTGCTTCCCCTGGGGTTGCAGCAAGGAGGCCCCAAGAGCATCAGCCCCTCACTGGGACCAGGGGGGTCCCTCTCCAGTTGGACCAGCGTGTTGCGTACGTATGCATCTTCCAGGGAGTCATCCAGTTCTCAAAGGGTCTGAGGTCTCAAGAACGCCAAGGGCTGTGCTGTGGCCTGTGGGAAGATGCTACAACGTCCCACTTGATCTAAATCCTGGGCTTCTAAGTGTGTCCTGGCAGGCAGGGCTGGGCGGGGTGGGATTCAAGGCCCTCCACATTCCAGGACAGAGCCGGGTGTCGGGTGGCTCTGAGGGCCAGCTGCAGCCTCCGGTAACTGGCTGCTGCCTCTGGAGGTGGGAAGAAGTGTCCCAGGCCAGTGACTGGCCAGGTGGGAAGCCGCAGTCCCAAACCTGGTGGTCAGATCCCTTATGGGACCACCACCCACTGACATCTCTGTCCCACAGTGTTCAAACCTGCCTTCTCAACCTGCAGAAGGGTGTCCCCCACTGCCTCAAACAGCTTATCCGGTTTCTGGAGTCCCTCCACAAGCAGAGGTCCAAAGCCACTCCCGTCCTGAGGCCCCACCCCCGGCTGTTTCTTCCTCCACCGGAAGCCTCCTTAGCCCTTTCCCTGGTACACACCTCCTCCACTGGGCTTGAAGGGGGCTCTTCTCTCCCTGCCAGACCGAAACACCTCATTCTTGTGCGCACAGGGGTAATAAAAAGTAGACCTTCCTCTTTTATTTTATACATGATGCTTCTTTTAATGCAGCCAGAAATGCCATTTGCTTTTCTCGGAACCATAACCCATACAGGATGCAGTGACCATTTCTTTATAACACCAGGGCTCCGCAAGGGGCCAGAAGATGCGAGTTACATCCAGCCCATCAGGGAGCCAAAGGCGGCGTGGGCCCTGAGCCAAGCTCTGGTGGCCGTGAGGCAGGCCTGGCCGTGCAGCCAGAGACTGGCAGAGGCTTGGGGCGGAGGTGGACAGAGGCGGTTGGGCTCTCAGTCCTTTGAGTCGGAGACCAAAGGACACTCGTCAAGTTCATCAGGCAAGGGTGGTCCATCTGTGCACCTGGCCGATTCTAACAGCTTCCAGGGGAGAGGACACGTGCAGGGGTCATAACGTCGTCACCTTTGCACCTGCCCTTGGCCAGGGACACCCTGGGTCTGGGGCCTCTCAGTGCCTGGGAAGGGCCCTGGAGCATGCCCATCCTCTGTCTGCCCCTCCCAAGAGACAAGAAGAAGAGGTGGTGTAACACTGTTTAAAATACACTTTTTCGTTTACAAATGCAGCAGAGGAGAGACGTGGGCCCCTTTTCTGCAGTTTGTGAGCAAGGGGCCAAGACACATGAGCACTAACCACGTAGCAGGGGTGAGGGGTGGGGGCGACTCCTGCCAAGGCACCCCGGGTCACACCCTGCTGCCTGCGGCAGCGTCCGCCCTTCCCGCTGAGCCCCTCTGCTGTCCGCTGGGGGCTGCCCGCCACGACCTGCTCCTGCCCACCCACATCCCTTGGCCAGGCCGGGGTCAGGGGTCACTGCCGATTTCGGCTGCCCAGCTTCCTGCGGTCCTTATTCTGGCTGCGCTGAGGGTCATCCATCTTGTGGACACGGAAACACTCCTTGAGGTTCTGGGACCGAATCTTCGGATTCAAGATCTCCTCAGTCATGCTGCTGGGGAACCAGCCTCTCTCCTGGTCATGCAGACGCTCGCCAAAGATCCACCCTGCGTAGGGAGGGGAAGGGGAGGGTCAGAAGCTCTCCAAGTGGCGCAGGCTGGGCCTCGCCCTGTCCTGTGTGGGGAGCAGAGGAAAGGGAGACGCAGGGGTCCAGCCGGCCTTTCCAGAGGTCCCCTGCCCTCAGATGCATTGCTGGAAATGCCCAGACCTGGTTAATCCCCGTGAGCTGGGCGCGTGCTGCCCTCCCAGGGGGCGTGGTGTGTGCACAGGGCGGGGGCAGAACCACTGTGTGTCCCGGATGTATTGACTTTGGAACCCATTCCCAAGCTCTCAAACCATCCTAGGCTGCCCCAAGTGAGGCCAGGAGACCCCAGGGGCCACCCCCAAAAGCAGGAGGCATTGAGGAGCCGGTGGGGTGGTAGCTGACCGCATGGTTCCCTGGCCGTGAATGCTACCGTCACCCTCTGGTTGGGCAGCCCCTCCCTGAGCCTCAGCCTCCCGGGAGCTGGGTGGTCAGCCGAGGGTGGCTGTCACGAACTGGCCGAGTGCCCTAGCTCTCTACCCCTCACCCCCCGTTATCACAGTGTCTCTGCTGGGGGCCTGGGGCCCGAACCGCAGGTCTTGCTGGCAGGTCCTGGGGCAGGGCTAAGACCTGGGGCCCGAGGGCCAGGGGCACGCCTTCTGCAGGCCATGTGGGAGGGGTGTCAGGCTGTTTATATTTTGTGGGGGGAGGGGGAGGGGAGGAACCACTGTTCTCTCAATGCTGGGTGAGGCCCTAGGATTTGGGAAGGGTGGAAATGGCCTCCTCTGGAGGTCACCAGCCTGAGACTTTCCAGCCAGGGTCTTGAAAAAGAGGAGGAAATGGGGTTGGGTGGAGATGCTTTGTGTATTTTGGGGGATTTAGGTTAGGAACAATTGATGTAGAAATAAGGGATCAATTTTTCAGGGGAGGGGAGTGAACCTCTGGCACTGATGCCAACAGCAGGAGTGGGCGGAAGCCCCGGCGGGCGGCTCTCTGGCCCATGTGGGGCTACAAGCCTGGTGGTCACAGGCTCATCTGGAAGCTTGTTGCAAATACGGGGTCAGGGTCAGGGTGCTCCTGGCCATCACCCCTCCCACTGTGATGGGGGCTGATGCCAGGGCCGGATGAGGGGAAGGGACATAGAGCCAGGCACTCAGCTGGGCCTCATGCTAAGTGGGGGAAGGCGGACCTCACAGCTCTGGGGAAGGAGAGCGGAGGCACTGGGAGAGTTGCCTGCTCTATGCTGAGAAAAGGCCAGCGGAAGCCATGAGGGGCAGAATGGTCTACGGGAGCAGACAGGCAGCACGGCCCTGGGCTCTGCCTGCTCTCAGCCGGCTCTTCTGTCTGCTTCTCCACTGCATTCCTCAGGCTGGGGCAGAGCCCCAGGAGGGGCGGGCAGGGAGCCTCGAGTGCGAGAGGCACCCAGCCCCCGGGCCTCACCATCCTCTGTCTTGTCCAGGATGTTCAGGATGTCGGCCAGATCCAGTGTCAGCTCGTCCGGCTGCTGGGCCATGTACGGGTGCACACATTGGACCTGGGGGCAGTCTGAAGGGAAGAGAGAGGGGGGCGGCATGTCCTCATCACCACGGCACCTGCCCTGGCCCCCCACTTCTGCCTCAGCAGTTAGCAGGGGCACGCTGCCTGTCCAAGAGACAACGCAAACTCCCGCAGCAACTGAAAGAGGGCTCATTCGAGGGAGGGGTGTGTGGCGCCAAAGAAAAGGCCGTTAAAGCACCAGGAGTTCTGAACAAAAGTATGTGGATACAGGGATGAACAGGCTTGAGGGGCTCCTATTGAGACTTCAGAAGGAGCTGCTTGGTCCTGGGCTGGGCCCTGGGAGCAGTTTGGGGACAGTCGGGACTCGGTGAGCTCGGTCAGGATGGCAGCCTCTCTATCAGGCAGCTGGACTTGTGCCCTTTTATATCCTGTAAGGTTTTCAGACAACTGGCCACCCCAGAGAACACTGGCGTTTGCCTTGTGGGCCCGAATTCCTCTTGGTTTCCTTGTGGCATCTGTCACTTATGACCCAGTGGCTTTTATTTCTTCACTAACCATCAAAACGTTTGCAAAGCTCAGGCACACCCGTGTCCTCCGCGGGGTACTAAGCTTGCACTGGGGTGCTGGGGACCCCCGGGCAGGCGAAGCAGTCTTTCCAGCGGCCCCACAGGCCCTTCAGGTGGAGTGCAGAGGCCCCTGAGGCTGACGCAGCTGTGACAGGCAGGGCCGCCACGAGGCTCCCTGGACCCTCCCCTGCCCCACCCGGCGGGTGCCCCCTCCCCAGTGGGCCACCTACCCAGCAGCCGGGACGTGAAGGAAACAAACTTGGTTCTTCGGTTGGGGGCCAGCGAGGTCATCCAACGCTTCATCTCGCTCCTGGGACGGGGAGGAGGACAAATGCCCCAACCGCAGAGCAACGGACCCCATGTGAGGGGAACCGCTGCACCAGGCATCCAGCAAGCTGGCCACTGGGTCCCGGGCCTGGCACAGAGCAGCGGCAGGACGGCGTGGACGGGGCCGGGAATCCAGTGGCAGGACTGGGGCGGAGCGCTATAGAACCTCCCTGGTACATCTTTAAAGTCAGTGGGTGAGGGTGAGCCCACGACACCCCAAAGTTAACCCAGAGGCGAGCCCTCAGCTGCCAGCTGCCCTGAGCCATGTTCCGTGGAATTGGGAGAGGCTGACGCCACCCCTGCCCCAGGCAGTCAGAACTGGACCGCAATGTGCAGGGCGACACCTGTGAGTCCTGGGCTGGGGGTTGCTGGGCACCGCACAGGGGCTGCAGGGCGGCTGGCCTGGCAGCTCAGAGGTGCAGGTGGGCCTGAGGCCACCTTGACAGTGGTTCACTGGTCGGTCGGGCCCAAGGGCTCTACAACAACTCATCAGAACAGAGGGGCCCGCCCAGAGTCTGACGCCCAAGGGAACATGAACACACACACACACCCCCAGCAACGTGCTCGCCCCGCACCCTGACACTAACACTGCACAGAAACCCTCCTGGCAGAGCCTGGGGGGAGGAAGGACAGGAACAGGGCGGCGGTGTGCTAAGCCTGGAGCCTCGCTCCACCCGGGCAGGCGACAGCGGCGCTGGGCACTCACTGAGAGGACGCCTTCAGCATGTAGGTGGCCTCCCGGTCATCCGCATTCTCCAGCAGCCGCAGGATGAAGACATTGGCCAGCGTCTGGCCCTGGTCCTCCAGCTCCTCCACTCGCAGCAGGCCCCGCGGGGCGGAGTCAAAAACCTGGTACTTGTCTCTGGGGACCGAGGGTGGCAGCAGAGGCACGTCAGTCCCCAGGCGGCGGCTCGGATTTCCAGGGAACGCTCTACCCTGGCCAGCGAGGCCGGCCCCTCTGCTGCCGCTCCTCACCTCCTTCTGGAAGCCCCCCACCTGACCGCCTGTCCCCCTCACCCCCAGCCCCCGCCCTCCACAGTGTGGACGGCGGACGAGGGGTCGGCACCCACGACACGGCAGGGGGTGCTCGGCCGAGCCCTCCCCAGGTGTCAGGCACTGAGCTGGACTCTCCACGTCCTTAGGGGTACAGCCCCCGCTAGACGGAGGGGAAACGGAAGCTCAGGGCGTTGAAACATACCTGCCCGAAGGCCCAAGGCTGGACCAGAACGGAGCAGGCCTTCAAAGAGGATCCAGGGCCTGGGCAACATCCCAGCACCACGCCCGCCGCCCCCAGGCCGTGGTGACTCCCCATCCCTCCTGCCTGCCGCTCACCCCGGAATCTGCCGGCAGATCACCAGCAGGTCGTTGAAGAGGAAGAGGTAAATTTCCCGGAAGAGCTTCTTGGTCCGCAGGGTCCGGGATGTCTTGGGGCCTGACATCTGCTGCAGCTCGCCCTGCTTCAGCAGCCAGCGGGAGTGGGAGATGATGGGCACCGACTGCGTGAGGGGGGACGGCATCAGAAGGGCTGTGCCCCTCCGCGCCCCCCGCCCCAGGCTCCCCTCGTGCTCTGACTGCAGTGATGACCGCGAGCAATGGTGTGTGAGGCCCGCACTGGGCCCAGGACACGCGTGGCACTGGTGGGAGGGACGGACGGGTGCTGGGCAAACACGGAAGGGCGTGTGTGCATGCGCACGTGTGCCTGAGTGGGCATATGTGTGTCTGTCTGTTGTCTGTGTATCTGCGTGTGCTTTTACGTATGTGTGCTCACGTCTAAGTGTGTCCACGTGTCCTGTATGTGTCTGTACTCACGTGTGAGTGTGTACATGTGGGTGCCTCTGTGTGTGTGTGTCATTCTCCTACTACTGTGTGATGCAGGATCAGAGGAGAGGCCAAGTTCACAGGAGAGAGGGGAGAACTGGGTCCCACAGGGTGAGGAGACTGGGCAGGCCAGTCTCCACACTGCGGCTCCGGGGCAGGCACCCAGCACCCAGCATGCGGCCCACAGGTGGAGCTACGTGGGGGGCCCGGAGGTCTGCGTCCTCAGCTGGGGCTCAGCTCCCAAACCTAGCATGACCTCAGGGACCCTCAGTAGGTACCGTGTGCTCATGTGCCCAGAACCCCAGAAACCCAAGCCCTCGGGGCCCTTAGGGTCACTAATGCCTGAAGTTTTACACAAAGTTGGGGGAAAGGTCGGTAACTTCCGTCGAATTTTCGAATCGCCCACATTTAAGAATCCCTGGAGCAGTCCATGACATACTCTTCATGTGAGCTGACTGTACAAGGTCACATAGCCAGTAAGTGACAGCAGGCAGCTCCTGACTCCCTGTAGGAGACAGTCTAGGCCAGCGGTCCCCAACCGTTTTGGCACCAGGGGCTGGTTCTGTGGAAGACAACTTTTATACAGACGGGGGTGGGGGATGGGGGGATGGTTCAGGCGGTAGTGCGAGCGATGGGGGGCGATGGGGAGCCATGGGGGGCGATGGGGGGTGATGGGGAGACATGGGGGGCGATGGGGGGTGATGGGGAGCGATGGGGAGCCATGGGGGGCGATGGGGACCCATGGGGGTCGATAGGGGGCGAAGGGGAGCGATGGGGGGCGATGGGGACCCATGGGGAGAGATGCGGGCTATGGGGACCCATGGGGGTCGATGGGGGGTGATGGGGAGCGATGGGGAGCCATGGGGGGCGATGGGGACCCAGGGGGAGCGATGGGGAGCGATGGGGGGCGATGGGGATCGGCTGTAAATACAGATGAAGCTTCGCTTGCTCACACACTGCTCACCTCCTGCTGTGCCGCCCGGTTCCTAACAGACTGCAGACCGTTACCGGTCCGCGGCCTGGGGGTTGGGGACCCCTGGTCTAGGCCAATGTGACGGCCCGGTGACTGGGGGCAGGTGGGGCCTTCAGCTAAGGGGTCAGGGAAGGCCTCGGTGGAGATGGTGCTGTGCTGGGACCCAAGGGCAGCCATTCAGCGAGCCCGGCCAGTGCCCAGTGCTCCAGGACAGCCGGGCTGGGGCGGGGACGTGTGGCTGGGCGTGGGCTCACCTTGATCTTAAACTCCATCTTCTTCTGAATGCTAATCATTTGCTCCGTGCGGCTCATTTTCCTGACGCCCTCATTGCATGCTTTCACCACCTGGGACGAGAAGGAGGACACATCAGGCCACCCACACCCAGCTGTCTCTGACCACTTACTTCGGCCCACTCAGGCCACAGCTGGTCAGTCTCAACTGGGTCTCAGTTCCAGTGTAGAAAATCAGGGCCTTGTCTTTGTTGGGACGTGAACTCCAGAGAACACATAAATCGATGCCGACCCCTCATGTCACCTAAGAGAGCAAATTTCGACCAGAAGACGTCCCTTCTCATCCGTCAGACTGGAAATGCCCCAGGTCTGGGGATCAGGTTCCGTCACACACTGTGGGGGGAGCACAGAGTCCCCCCACCTTCCTGGGAGGCAACCCAGGTACCAAGGGGCCGAATGAAACCACATTTTCTGGGACTTCTGGGGACTCATTCCGAGAGATGATATCTGCACAGGAACCAGAACAGGGGCCGGCACCCAGCAGGCGCGCAGCGTTTAGGAACGAGCCCAAAGACGTGCGTACTAGGATGTCCCCCGCAGTGGCGTTCAGAGCAAGAAAAACTGTCCTCAACCTAAATGTCCATCTACAGGGGTTGAGTAGTGCTCATGAATCCACAGAACCCTGTACTCTGAAACCACGAAGAAGTGCAATAATTTTACAGGCACTAAATGGAGGGAAAAGCCAACTCGTAAAGCACAAGCCCACCTGCAAAGAATACAGTGGTGTGCGCAGGCGTCTGTCTGGAAAGGGCCTGGAGGGGCCGGCACCAGCGTGTCGGCAGTGGGGTGCGGGAGAACTGCTCACCTTTACCGTCTTCTTTCTGCCTATGAACAGTTTGTGGACTTGTTTGTATTCAGCAGCATTTTTATAAACTAAGGGAAAAAACCCACCTTTATTGAAAAAGGTAAATAATGAGAAGCAAGTGTCTACCTGGGAAATGAAAAGGAGATGAAAGCAGAAAAGAACTTGAAAACAGAAGACACTTGCCGGTGCCCCGAGACCCCTTGGGGCCCAGTGTGGCCGGCTGCCCGGTGCGGGCCGGAATGAAGCCCCCACCCGATCAGGTGTGTGTGTTCCAGGGGTGGGCAGAGGGTCCCGAGAGATGCAGCCTGGCTGGCAGGTCCCTGACCCTCCCTGACCAGCCTGCTCGAGGCTCCAGCCTTTCCCCAGCTAGGCTGGGAGGGGAGTGCTGTGTTTCCCAGGATCCAAAGGGTATAATTGCCAGAAGGATTTTGGAGGCCAACTGGCCTGATTGAGGGATGCGAGGAGAGGCCCCTGCGGGGAAAAGACTGCATTAAGCTACAAAGTCCTCATGGCTCCGTGTGGCTCCATGTGGCTTAGAACCACCACCTGGGGCTATAGTCCTTTTACTAAGCTGCTGCCACTGGTACACTAAGTGGAAAGGACTTCCCAACACCAGGCTCTCGTCCATTTCAGGGTCACCAGCGTGACAGAGTGGCCCCTGCACGGCTGCCAGGAGTGGGCTCGCAGCTCCAGCGGACACACTGGAGCCAAACACACGGGACAGCGCTGCTTTCAGACAAATACGTGGGAACAGACACATTCACTGACCCCTCCCGCATGGCCCCTGCTCTGCCGGCAGCTTCCAGGAGGATCCTCTTCTCTCGGAGGATCAGGAGAGGAGATGCTTTCTCCACTCCTGGGCAGGAAAAGCCCAGGCTTGGCAGGGCTGGGCAGTCCTCTCGCGGGGATAGGAGGTGCAGCTCGAGGGCCGGGAGAGGCGGGATCGGGGGGCGGGAGAGGCGCACAGGGCAGAGCTGCATCAGGGCTCAAGAAGGGCCAGAGCCGGCCTCAGAGCACGGCAAGGGAGGCAAGAGCCATGGCGTTTGACACTGGAAACAGGTCAGGACAAGCGTGGGGCCTCCGAGGGCTGCGGAGGGGAGAGCCTGGGCCTGTGGGTGGCCACAGAGCGGGGGCTGGCGGGAGGGTCCATGAACATGTCTGCAGGTCAAGAGCGCCCGGCCGGCCTGGTCCACCCCGCACGTCAGCAGCCTGGGGTGAGAAGCAAGCCCACCCGACTTATTCTTTGGACCCAGTGACCTCTCTGGATTGCCAACTACTAAAATGAATTTGCATCTTCCAGAGGCGCACAGGCACAGGAGGGGGCAGGACAGGAAGGTGGGCCTAGAGGAGGAAGACCGCTGACCGGGAAATGTGGAAAGAGGAAAGCACAACTCACCAGCTCCAGTTCCTTGTGCGCACCCAAGGCAGTGCCTTCCCGCTCAGACCTCTCTTCCACCCTCTTCAGGATGTTCTGAGCACAGGCAAAGTCTGCATTTAGTTTCCGCACGTACAGCCATTCCTCCCCTCTCCGCCCGCTTTGGCAGTGGCAGCCTCCCTGCCGCACTGGTCCAAACAGCCTCGTGTTGCTGCAACGTCCCGGAGCAAAGAGCCCCACCAGTTACGGACTGAGGGCGGGAGAACCTTCCACCAGCCGAGGGCCGAGCATCGCACACAAGCCTCGCTCGGCTCTAAGATGATAACCACGAGTCAAGGTCGGCACAAGGACCAACTACGAGGGCCAACCCCGAGCCCCAGTCTCCTTACAGCGAAGACCGAAGCAAAGGAGGCAACCAAGTGCAGTGGGGAAGGGGGCGGGCGAGGCCCGACAGTGAGGGAAGGGTCGCTCAGGGCTGGCTGTCCCCGAGGTGAGCTCGATGTCTGCAGCAGCATCAGTGGGACTGCCGTTTGAAGCCAAGTAGCAACGACCCTGAGGCTTCGTTAAGTCTGGTCTTATTGATAAAATCCAGTAGTTGGATTTTCTTGCGTTTCGCCTATAAATTACAATGTTTGCATTGGTTTCTGCCTCACAGTTCTCCCCGTGCCCATATTTCTGATCTGCTCTCATTCCATGAAGAGGTTTGGGTGCATCTGAGCACAGCTCACCTCCCCGCCAGCTGCCCCATGTGGTGGCACAAACGTCCCCAGCCACCTGCTGCCACCCAGACACCAGGATGTTGGGCATCCTTTCCACTCTCTCCTGAGCTCCAGACCAGACCCAGATCCCTCCCACCTCTGGATGTCCCTCAGCCGCAGGCCCCCAGGCTCCCCTGTGCGGTCACCTGCCCCGCCTCTGCCTGCCAGCCAAGCCAGACACACGCAGTCAGCTCCGATGCCTCCTTACCCTCCCCCCCACCAACATGGGGTCACCAACCCTGCCTGTAACCACCCCCCGACTCCCAAATCCATCTCCCAGCGAACAGGATGGCTCAGGCTCCACCTTTCCTCATTGGGATAAAACCCCATCTGACCAGGTCCTGCTCCTGGCCTCAGGCAGAGGTGTGGCTTCTTCAGCCTGGGCACAAGGCTGGGCACAAGCCCTCCACGCTGGCCTCCTCTCTGGTGGGCCCCTCCCTACCTCCTGCGGTAACTGGCGAGTGTACCGGGAGCACCCCGCCTACATTCACCCCTCGGACGCGCTGCCTCTGAACCTCAGTCCCATTTCCACTCTTGCCCTCCTGCCTGATACCCTCCACACGGCAGCTGCTTTGAGCTCTTACCAGCGTCAACTAGATGGAATGGCTCCCCATCACATTGAGGATAGAACCCAATGTCTTACCCGGCTCCTTAGGCCCCTGTTCAGCCTCTGCCCACATCTGCACACCCATTCCCATCATGTTCCCCCAGCTCACCGCTGGCCGCCCCGTCTGTGTACCTTGCTGCCCCAGGGCCTTTGCATAAGCAGCTCCCTGTCAGATGAATGGCTCCTCCCTGTCGGCCAAGTCTTAGCTTAAATGTCACTCATCCGAGTCTTTCCTGATCCCCCAGCTGGCAGTGGGCATGCAGTCACCACCATCACGTCACTCTGTTTCACTGTCCTCAGCCATGACCACTTCCTGGTTGTGTGTGTGTGTATGTGTGTGTGTGTGTGTGTGTGTGTGTGTGTGTATCTCCCCACCCTCCCCCAGAATGTGGCTCTGTGGAAGCAGGGGCTGAGTCTCCCACTGCCTGGCACACAGTAGGAGCTTAATTAGGATTTGTGGAACAAATGGACTTCTGGAAACAGAAAGCCAGCCTGGAATGACCAAAGCCAACAGCCCGCAGCAGGAGAAGTGTGTGTCAGGGGAGAGAGGCTGGTACCTGGACCAAAAGCTTGAGGCGCGTGATCCTCTGGAAAGGCAGGATGAGGAAGGAGGAGAGGGGCAGCCCCCTGCACTTGGGGTCCAGCTCCAGCTGCGTGATCAGCTCCCGAAAGGCTGCCTTCTCCTGGCTGGGGACACAGACAAGAGAGTAGGTCTCTGGCTCGTGGGAGGCGCAAACTGGAGGGGGTTCTTCCCCGTCCTCAGACCCCCTAAGAACCAGACAGCCCACAAGCACAGAAAACGCGTCGATTTCTTCTCTCCTCTCTCTTTTTTTTTTAATGGAAAATAAACTGTTTGTGTACAAGTCAAATAACAATAGTGACTTCACACGCCAGGCCCATGAAGTCTTAGCAAAATATGCTGTGTGTGGGAGGGCAAGAATTCCTTGCGTGGCCAAGACTATGAATCAGATGCAGAATTCGATGATTTACCCAGCAGGAAACGGTGGCAAGGTAAACCCACGTAATGACAGGAGCAGGCAGCAGGCTGGAGACGGCTGCAGGGAGAACCTGTGCTACTCCTGCCAGGTGGGGATGTCTCGTCTGCAGACGGGCTGGGCAGTGGGAACCACTGCTGGAGATCAGACGCGGGCCCTGGACTGCCCGTCATTAGGGACACGGCGCTCAGGCCCAGGGAGTCTGCTCTCACGGGCCACACCAGTGGACCCCTGGGCACTGCAACATCTAGAATCCTCTTCTCCTGTGTGACTGTCTTCTCAACATCCGTCCTCAAAACTGGCATCCCGATTCCCTCAAATCCCAGTTTCAAACCCCAAATGTAAAACACCCAAACCCCTGAATACTCAAACTTTAAAACATCCCCAGTGAACTACACGGCTTGATAGAAAGACCCAACGGAGCATAACGTCCAGAGGTCACTACTCAGAGTCCTTTGGTGCCCATGAGTGTGCTAAGAACACAGCACTGGTTAAACTGTGGTTGAAACGTGGCACAGACATGTGAAGAATTCAAAAGAAGCAAGTTAATGAAAAAACTCTCTCATCAACGGAAACCCCAAGAAAGTTTACAAAATGGGCAGATGAGTAAATTCAAGGGCTTTGCTGGAGAACCACCAGAAAGACTCCCTCCCCCCAATCCTTGCCTTGTCTCTAGTTCAAACCACTTTCCTGCCGTCTTGGGCCTCGAGTTGTCCTCTTGGCCTCAAGCTCCCTTTTCTAAAACTCACAGAGCTCTGCACGGCCATCTGGACACGGGTCCGGTGGGCGCCATGGCTGACTGTCCCGGGGTCAACATTTCCCTAATGACACCGAAAGCCCCAGAACGTGCCGGAGTTGGATGCTGTCCTGGGAAAGCAGAGACCCAGGGACCACAGCTCAGTGTCAGCACAAGAGGAGGGGGCCGCCGGGGCCACGCCTGCGTGATGGCCCCGCTGCCCAGCCATACTCACAGCAGCTGCTTGTAGGTCCTCTCCTGGTAGGTCTGGTTGCTGACGTAGGTGATGTAGACGGAGAAGTGGTCGGCGGCGTAGAGGTACACGATGTCGCACACGTCTGAGATGACGATGTTCTCCTCCATCCTGCGCTCCAGCTCCAAGAGAAACCTGCAGCGGGCGGCGGCCGGGTTAGGGGTGGCTGGCTGTGGAGACTTGGCACAACACAACAGGAGGAGGTCCCAGCGAGGGGGGCACGTTCTGTCACATCACGGAATTACTTGTTCAGTTTAATAGGTGGGTAGTGACATTAGGAGCATTTTTTTTTTTTTTTTTTTTTTTTTTGCGGTACGCGAGACTCTCACTGTTGTGGCCTCTCCCGTTGCGGAGCACAGGCTCCGGACGCGCAGGCTCAGCGGCCATGGCTCAGGGGCCTAGCCGCTCCGCGGCATGTGGGATCTTCCCGGACCGGGGCATGAACCTGTGTCCCCTGCATCGGCAGGCGGACTCTCAACCACTGCGCCACCAGGGAAGCCCTAGGAGCATTTTTAAAAGGGAGAGACCTCATCTTTTACGTCCATACTGATGCGTTTACAGTTGAAGTGAGCTGACGATGGTGATCTGCTTCAGAACAATCCCGTGGGTGAACCTAATGCTGAAGCGTGGGCTTGCTACATTGGTGTCTCTACTTCTGCATGCTTGGGATTTTCCATAATAAAATATAAATAAATACAAAAATAAATAGACACCCCTCCCCCAGTGGGGGTGAGCAGCAGAGACCGAGGCGTCTCCGAGGCTGCTCTGGTCTCAGTCAGCTCTCGCCTTCCTGAGCCTACCAGGTGGGGGGCTGCCACGAGGATCTGGAGGCTGCAAACGGAAAGGTGGGGTGTCCATGTGGAGGGGGACCGACTCAGGAGGGTCCATGGAGAGCCACACACGGGTGTGGGTTTGCTGCTGCCCGCGTGCTACTTCACATCTGAACAGGCGGGGACGGACCAGCTCATAAAAGCTGAGTTCTGCACTTTTAGCTGCAAACCTCCCCAGGCTACAGTGAAAAGGGTAAATGGGTCTTTTATCCTAACGGAATGACGGGAGTTCATTTCTTCTTTGCAATAATCAGTCAATAGATGTCCATTCCTCCTCCACTTAAGCTCATCCCATCCTTCTTTAGGCAAAAGAAGTACAGTCCCAATCGCCACCTCCACACACCCTTGCTAACACCACGCAACCGGAGAAGAGAAAGTGTCAATCCAGGACCGCGCTCCGCGTTGGCCCTCAGAGGGTCTCGGGCCCCACACACACCAAGCCAGGGCCTTGTGAGGTCAGGATAAAGAGCAGCTCGCATGGACACCCCCGGACCAGGTCGTGACACCCGCCACTGATGTGCCTTATTGTGTGAGACACACGGAGCACCTGCGTGGCCGGGGGGGACCTGCAGGCAGCCGTCCTGTCCAGAGGGACGCAACGGGCCTCGTTGCTGGGAGATCTTTGGGTTTATGTATTTAGTTACATCTTATTACAGAAAATTCCAAACCTACAAAAGCAGAGAAGCCAGAGTAACAGGCAGTGCCGCCAGCCCTGGACGTGCCCCAGGCGAGGAGGAGGGACAGGATGGGGCCCCACGAGGACCGGCGCGGAGGCTCACCGCTCACTGACGGCCATGACGTCCAGCACGTTGGAGAAGAGGATGTGTGCCTCGGACGGGTGCAGGATCTTCTTCAGGCGCTCGTTCTCCATGAAGTGGGACACAAGCAGGTTCAGGCTTTTGTAGTAGGAGGCCTCGGAAGTCACCAGCTCGAACATGGCCTGGGACGTGAGGAGGGCCAGCGGTCAGCACCTAGGACTCGTCTCCCCCCGCTCTCAGGTGCAAAGGTTTTATTTTAGTTTCGTTTTTTGGCTGCCATGCACGGCTTGCGGGATCTTAGTTCCCCGACCAGGAATCAAACCTGTGGCCCCTGCAGTGAAAGCGCCGAGTCCTAACCCCTGGACCACCAGGGAAAGTCCCCAGATGCAAAGGTTTTAAAAGTGAAGGAAGACTGCTGTCGGGGTCTGCGTTGGCAAGGGCGCTGCCATCCGCGGCCAAGACCGCTTGCCCCGCTCACGAGAGTGAAGCCGGAGATAGCCTCGTGTCCGAGTACGGAACAAGGTCAAACACGAGGGGCCAGCCATCCGCTGGGTTCCCGACAGCTGCTGAGGGTGACTCAGGACTGTCTCCTGGTGCGGAATGGGTGAGAGAGTCAGCAGTAGAAGGACCCCACTTCTACACGCCCAGAAAAATGTCCGGAAGGAAACAGGCCATAATGTCAACCACAGGTGTCAGTAGGGGGTGGAGTTTGGGGGTGACTTTTACTTTTTTCTTTTTACCCTTTCAATTGTCTAAAAATTGAAGAATGAGCATATATTGTTTCTTTCATGGTCTTATTTTATAATGTAATTGATAAAGCAATTTTCATTTTGAAAAAAGAAAGAGAGAAAGAAGACAGAGAAAGAAGTCCATAATCTGATAAACTTTTTGGAGGCGCCTTCATTCTCTATCACGCTTATCACCTGATTATTGAGTCTATGAAACAGCAAACTCACCGGACCTCTGTTCCCTTACGTGTCATCTGTGAAGCGAGGGCAGTAGTTGCTGGTTCACCCTCCTTCCTTACTCTCAAGCAAACCCATGACCCTTCCTGAGACCATCCAGGGACCACCCTCACCTTCCTCTCCCCCATCTCTCCCTGCTGTTCCTCAGCTTAGGGTGGGTTCAGGTCTGGGCCCACGGTGGCTGCCCAGAAGGGACAGTGTAGTGGGATGAATTGTGCGCCCACCCAGAGCTGTGTCCACATGCCAAGCTCCAGCACCTGTGAACGTGAACCTGTTTGGCAAAAGGGTCTTTGCGGATGTAAGTGAAGGATGTCAAGGTGAGGAGACCATCCTGGATTGAGGGTCTAAATCCAATGACAGGTGTCCTTACAGGAGAGATGCAGAGGGAGATCTGGCAGACACACAGGGAAGAAGGCCATGTGAGGACACAGGAAGAGACTGGAGTGATGCTGCTTCAAGCTAAGGAACGGGAGCCACCAGAAGCGGAAAGAGGCAGAACTGCCAACACGCTGATTTCAGGCTTCTGGCCTCTACAACTGGGGGAGAATAAATTACCACCCAGTTTGTGCTAATTTCTTACTGCAGCCCCAGGAAACAACACAGACAGACAGAGGAGCGCTGAGAGATGGGACAGCGATGAGTGTAGGGGGCCCTGGTCCCTTCCCAGCATCCCGACCACCCCACATCTCACCTCCCTGTGGGGTCCTCCATCCTCCCACTGACCGGAACCCTGACCCAGGCAGGGCTTAAGGTTCTGGCCACGAAAGCTAGTGCTGCCGGGGCTAGGAAGGATGGTGGAAGGAAGGGAGACAGGGAAGGGAAGAGGGAGGGAGGACCAGCATGTGTTCCAGACACACAAGGCGCCTTCTCGTTCCATCCTCACTGGTCCCCCAGGAAGGACGTACAGAAGTTCGCATTTCGCTAAAAGGAAACAGATGCAGAGGTTAAGCAATGCCCCAGAGTTACTGCTGGAGGGTGTGGAAGATTCAACCCAAGGTTCTTCCAAGTTCTGGGCTCTGCCCACCAGTACCCACCCCTGCTGACTTACGCGCAGGCAGAGCGGAGATTCAATGGCGTCTGCAGGAGGCCTGGCCTGCTGCTTCCCCGCAAAGCTCAGACCCACAGCCAACCTGGCAGAGCACTTTAAAATGAGCGACATATTTGTAAGTTGGGAGCTCACTCCAGGGTGGCCCACAAATGACAGACCGTGGGCCACCATCAGAGGAGAGCCCACCGGTCCCCTAGTGTCTGTGCCTCACTCAAGACAGTGAGAGGAGGCACTGAAACGAGCTGGCGGCCTCTCTAACTGTCCCCGAGTCACAGATGCTTGGTCCGCTTAAAGATACGAAACACACGAAGCACATCCCGCTGGCCTCACTCACGCCAGAGCTGAGGCCTCGGCACGGAAGGCCCCACCCTCTGTTCTGCCAACGTCCAGCCAAGCCCTGCCGGGCAAGGCTGAGACCGCGCTGGGCAGGAAGTTCCCGGAATCATCTCTGTTACAGATGCTGACAACAAAAATCACTTTCCTGCTGCTAAATTTAAGTTTCTTAAGACAACGTCAGGCCATTACAGCTTGCAAGTTCCAAGCAAATGTAACTAAAAGAAGCAAAACAAAACAGCCCAAACCGAGACAGATGAGTGCTGCAGACACCGAGAGAGGAAAACACCACCGTGCCCAGGACGCAGCCCCGCAGACAAACGTCTCCCTGAGCGACGCCTGGATGCACAGCTGTGGGATCACACGTGGGAAAGGTGCCCAGGCCCCTGAGAGCATCACCATCCTGACCCCCGGGAGGACGAGGGGTTGGGGGCCGCCGGGCAGTGCCAGGCGGGCCTCTCAGCCGCTGACACGCAGCGGGCGTTGGGCCTGAATCACTGCTCCTTGATCCCGGCTGTGCCCATCCGCCACAACCTCACCCCCTCTTTCTCCGTTTATAGGCAACTAGTCACCTGTGGATTTTTGTTTTCCAGGGTGTTTGTCTTTATTTTATATGCCAAACTATTTGCCATATCAATATGGTCGTCCTTTCCTCATTAATATTATTTTTACCCTCAGTCATTCAAGCTTTTGCACGGTGTGTGGAGCCGACAGGGTCCAGGCCCTGCTCACTCGTTCATTCATTTGTTCATTCATTCGTCCGCAAACGCTGACGAGCACTGGTCCGGGCACCCGGGACTCCTCCTCCATGAACATGGCAAACTCCCTGCTTCCGTCCCAGGGCAGTGAAGGCAGAGCAAACGGGAGTAAAGTGCGTCCCGTTGGGTGTGAGGGATGCTACGAGCAGACGGTAAGAGGTGTGTGTGAGCACGTGAGAATGTGTATATACGTGTGTGACTGTGTGTGCGTGACTGCGTATATGTCAGTGTGTGTGTGTGAGTTACTTACTGCAGAGAATCCCTCCTTGGTGAAAGCAGCCGCTGCTCTGTGGCCGGGCTGGCTGAGGCCCCGCGCTGCCCGCCGTCGGGGTGCAGGGCTCACACAGGACCGTCATCCTCGGGAGCTCGGCTGGACTGACCCGAAGTTTCTGAATCACAGCTTGGTCTCCCATCGGTGCTTAGTGCTGGATTATTCCGCTTGGTATCCGCCAACAGTCATGTTACGCTTCCTGGGTTTTTCACAACCCCGCCACTACTAAGCCCAACTCCCTCCTGGGTTCTTTGCCAAGGGTAAGAGCCGGGCAGCTCTGGACCTTTCTTCGAGGGGCCAGTCCAGGTGGTTTTGCAGCCAGTGAGGGCCGTGCTGGGCCTGGTGTCCACCACAGGCCGCTGAGGAGCAGAGCTGTCAAGGCTTCGGCCTTGGAGTTAGCCAGAGAATTGCTTCATCCCACTAAGCCTCAGTTCCCATGTGTGCAGAATAAGGACCACAGTCCCCAGAGGAAAGGCCCAGCTGGGGCCGGCCTGTCTCAAAGCACCTGGCAGATGTCCGGGGCCGTAATCCATCCGACATCCGTGTGTCGTCTTCACAGGACCTCAAGTGCTTCACGGATGGAGCTCCAGCCAGAGGGGTCAAGGAGGGCCTGTACCAGGAGGTGCCACTGGGTGTGAGAGCCAAAGTATGACCCGTTCAGAGCAGGGGTGTGGACACCAGGTGGAGGTGGGAGACGGGTGGTGGAGAGGGAGCTGGGGGAGGGGCCTGGCGGCCAGGCCAGTATAGGAGTCACGTGGGGGCAGAGCAGGCTTCTGCGCACAGTCTTAAGTCCACCCTGCTGGCCGCCGTGTGGGCCAGAACCACACAGCCTTGCGTTCCGGAGTCCCGGGGCTGCTCGACGCTCCTGGGCTCCGCACGTGCTCTTGCCGCTTCCCCCGCCGGCCTGTGGATGAGAAGCCATGCCTGTCTCCCCACAGGCTTTGGAAGAAATGGATTAGATTTTTCTCAGTAAACTTAGACTTTTCTCCAAAAAAAGGAAACAATGTATCAGAGAATCACCGGAGTTCCAGCTGAGACCATCGCCACAGTCTCATGAGCTGAGAGGGCTCAGCTTTGGTCGGTGAGCATCTCCCCTTCCCTGGGGGAGTCCAGAAACTTCTGAGCCTGCAGACCCCAGGCCAGCCCCACACCCCACGGAACAGAAGACGCCCCACAGATGCACAGAACCAGGACCCCTCTCCCGAGGCAGCCCAGGCCTCGGTGCTGTGTGGGTTCAGGGTCCTCACGCAGCCTTGGGACTGGAGTGGCCCTGGGTCAGGCCCACCTGGACCACCCTAGTCAAGCAGTGCATTTGAAGAAACAGGGGAGACCCCTGACCCATCAGCAAGGGGATGAAAGAGGAAGCCAGGACACCAAGCAAAGGCTGCTTCGGATCAAAAAAGTGAAAAAAACAGCCCCTAACACACAAAGAGCGCTGTCCGTTAAGAACTCAGTTTACTGACCCACAATTTCCTGTGATCTAAGACAGTTCAGCCTGTGGTATCTCATTTTCTGACGCGGGTCCTCACGGTCCGAGCAGGCAGCTCACGTCATCGGCCTCCACGCTCCACCCTGATGTCCCCCTTGGTATGTGGGTCCTTCCTTCCTGCAGCATCAGCGACGCTCAAGGCTGAACAGTCCTTTGCCTTCTTTACCTGCACCGTCTCCACCTTACAATTCAGATTCTCTGTGGACCCCGTGTGTGGTCATTCTATCCCGATTAGGATTGGTTTCGGCTTCCTGGCCTTGGTGTCAATGCTTCACAGCGGTCTTTGACGCCATAACCTTTATTATGATGCTGTGGTGT